CTTTCTAGTGCAATAACTTATTACAAATCAAAGGCGACGAGCGCTAGCTCCCAGTAGCGGCGAAATATTCGTTGCAAGCGGGGTAACGCACAAAGCCTTCTCACCAGGACCCAACCCACTTGACATGGCAGTGACGCGGCGCATCGACTTTGCCTTCCCCAATTCAGCGTTCCACCCCCACGAAGCAGAAGCCTTTGAACTCAGCAACAGATACTCGTACTACATAATCATACTAGATACTCGTACTATATAATAACCCAGGATACGTTCGGCTACAGTGCACCTACCGGCTACATCTCTTCCTTTGGAATGCGAATGGTAGGAGATTTCACTGTATTCATTCATAAAAGTGAAGCGGATAATTTGGTGCCGTTTTAGAAGAAAATGTCCCGTCTCCCGGCGCCGTATGGGGACTGTATTGCTGAAGGAGCGACATCGGATTACATTTACAGAGACTATGCTTACTCTACAGAGGTAAAAAATTAGAATTAGACTGTCAAATTCATTGTGAACCTGAAAGAATTACTCTCAGGGATGTTACCGCACGTGCTTTCAAAGGCTGATTATCGATAGGTGCGGTTGCGGTGATCCGCGGTTTCCGTCGATCGGCGATCATAAACTCTGTGAGGTGTTCAACAAGGAGCACAGTAAGTTCTCCGATCAATGTCCATTCCTTCTCCCATCCCTAGCAGGACAGATGGCCAAGCTATTGGTTGGTCTTGCTTCGAGAGACTGCCATTTTCAGGAGCATGTCTTGAGCAGAGCACTCAAGAACTCGGTGATATCCATGGATCGTTCAAGTGCAGGTTGGGAAGAGCTTCTTCAATGACTTTTACTACTTGACTTTACTCCCTCAAGAAAAGGACTCTACACTCGCTTCCGAAGATCCTGCTCATAGCCATCCGCGAGGTGAACGGCTTCACAGCCGCAGTAGCGTGGTACTATTTCCGCTAGAATGTGCACATGAAGGGGTCTCGACAGACGGGGCAGTCGGGTGCCGTCTCTCGACTCCGCCAACGCTATCCTCAAGATGCAGCACTCACGTGGATACTAGGATCCCGCGCTGAAAGCAGGGCGCGCCATCGTTGTGATGATCACAACTGGAGGGAGGGGGAGTCGTATTTGGTCCGAGAAAATTTTTTTGGTAGTCCATTTCTCTTTCACGGACAGTATAAAGGGGAAGAGTTTTTTTTCCGTTGTTGAGAGAGGGACTGCCAAAGATCTATACAACTACTATTTCCGATAGTTGAAAATGATAGTTAAATCCTGACGACCTCCCCCCGCTCGACAGCAAAATTTTGGAGAAAACCAGAAGGAATTATTGGAAAAACTGGTTTTAAAAAAACCTGAGATTCTTGTTTCACATTGGGCATATATCCCGTCCCCCTCGAAAATCTAGGAAAGTGGTAGGTAGCATGGGAAGGGGGAGGGGGGTCATATTCAAGGATAGAATTAAGGGGGTCGTATTTTCCAGGAAATGATCACAACACGATGGTGTGCCCTGGCTGAAACACCCTTTTAGCGGCAGAGAGCAACCAGAGTAAGAGAGCTCAGACAAGCAGCGGGTTTGGCTATGGTTAAGCTGTAGCTGGCCGTGTGGCAGCGCAGGCGGAGCAAAGAGGATGCTCGGAGGTGGGTGTGCTGTATAGAGGCCAATAGGGCCGTATGCTGTTTGGGACTGTAGCTCACAACATCCAAGCCGAGGCTAGATCACCCGAAGAGGCATCGCGAGCAAGGTCATGTGCACAAGGATTTAGCCCTCTCAACATGGCAAGTCTTGCAGCGCGTCAGGTCGACTAGCTACAGTCTTGTTCGCTGAGGATGCCGGGACGTGTTAAGGAGGCTGGTTTGGGCGCTGTGCCAGACCCGTTTTCCACCGGCTGTTGAAGCGAGAGAAGTTGGCGGAAAACAGGCTGGTGTCTCACCAAAGATAGCTCCCTGACACGCTCTAACTCCCTTAGCGAACGACATTAGGAAGTACCGTGTTAGTCCGCACGCGATGCCCCCCCCCCCTCGGAGGTCCAAAAAGGCTTGGGACTCTCTTGCGCCATTGTTTCTCCAGGTCCCAGTGCTCTGTGGCGTGTCTCCCATGACCTTATCACCCATCATTAGCTAGCTACTCACCATCAGAACTGTTATGGCGAGCTGGAGAAAATGATCAAACCAAGATGTGACCTAATCGCTTGCTGTGAGAGATACGCTCGCCAGTTTAACCCGTTGAGAATGTGCCACGCATTCTATTTCTACGATTAATTGTAAGATTTGAAAGCGATCCAGCTTGTACAGCGATCAGAGGTAACCAAATGTTTGAGAGAGTGTTTTCATCGTCCTAGACGAGCCTGCTACCGTAATTGGCACTGTAGAGATCGAAGACTGGCTTGACTTTGAAGATTCAGTCTGAGATACGACCCCTTGACCGTGCATGATAGCAATATTTCTGTACAATCAGATGTCAGCAACCATGTAACCAAACGATCTACACTATGTCATACTCGGAAGCGATATGGCCAAGTCAGTCGCTTAATATTACGCTGGGAACGTGCGAGGAAGAACCGGAAGTGTGCAACGAACAGTATCAGTGAGTTTTTTGAGCCCAAATTTTTCGAGCCAAGCACTATCTAAAACTAGAAGATTTCTATACTGTACAGTGCCTCCTGCTCAAACGGCGAGCCCTTCACTCAGCAGGCTCTATTTTAGAGAACGCTACACTACTAGATGGACCCCTCCCAAACTCCCCTCCCCCGATTTCCTGAGCCCAAAGACGATGTACCTACATTGGAAAGGCCCTGTGCACCTCCGCCTCTCTCACTGGCGCAAAAGTGTCTGCCTGTCTGCACACTCCCATCAAAACAGTATTCCTTTCTCCATACACGTCCAACCCTAGAAGGGGGTAGACGACCAGAGCCGGTGCGACCCCCGATTCCCTTAGAGGCACATGGCACGATAATTTGGTACTCGGTCTAAAATGCTAGCAGGGTGCTATATAGTGGAAAAATGGCGAAAAACGAAGTGAAACGGTCAAAAACCTGCAAAAAAAAGCCATAGTTT